ACGTGTTGAACTTCCTCGGCAGAAACGCGATGAGCCTAACAAAGCGGGCCAGAACGACACGAAATGCCTAACACGATTATCAAGCGCGTCACCGTGTCCACCCGGCGTCGACACGGCACATCACGCTCACCTATCAGAAATGCACATTAACTTGCGTGCACTATATATACATAAAGCACGTTTTCCAAAAAAATGTAAGATGTGAGGATGGCAAATTTATGTCATGTCATGTCATGTTGAAATGAGGGTATAACACGAATGTGGTTTAACGTCGACAGCGGCCCACATTTAATAACTTGTACTCACCAAAACAAAAACTCATAATGACTCATGGGGGTCATTGAGTACCAAAGTGTAAATTGGCCAGTAAAAAGGCCAAGGGGGAAAAGTAAGGATTAATACAAAAGGAAATAGGGTGGCATAACGAATTAAAATCATGAAATGAAGAAAAATATCAAATTATGAAAGTGAATGTACTTACTTCATACTAAAGTACATATCAAGCTCCAAAATCATAAATAAAACTTGAAATTACGTGAATTATTTCCCGAATATCGACGAAATTAATATTTCGACATTCATAGCGGAGCCAAATTGAATCCGCGATTAATAATAATCGATGCCGGGAAATACAATTGAAACTGAAGTCAATATCGAAACGGAAAATTCTATTTTTTTTACCAAATTGAATGGCAAGGAAAAAGATTGGAATCTACCTAATGGTGCATAGTCAAGAAGCAATAAAGATCATATTGGTGGTGGTCATAGAAAAGCAATTCAACTATGTCCTCCACGATTGACCACTCGTGGATGGCGGTCAATGTTTGTGGTCAAATGTGTCGGCTTATGCGATTTTCAATTCATGTTTTTAGGTGATTTTCCGAGGTTAAAATTAAAAAAAAAATTACTCATTTCACTAATTAAGCATTCGGAAAAAAAAATGTATAAGTTTATAATTCGATTTTTATCTCTCGCGCATTTTAATCTCAAAATTCGAATATCTTCTACCTCGTGACACACTGTCCTAGAAAAGCTTCGATTCTGAAATAATTTGGCCGTCGCGACCGAGCCCGTGACGTTACCATCTAATCTCGATTTAATTAAGAGATGATAATGCTAATTGCGCATGTTGATCATGGACCATCAAAATTATAAAAAATAAAATAAATGATTAAAAATAAATTGCTAGTGGCATAAAGTAACGTGGACCGATGGCGGCCACCCCACCACCATCAAAGTGTGATTATGGGCCCAACGACCCATTAAAAAAGTCACTTTTTTTTCACACTACATAATGCAAAATCAAATAAAAAGGATTAATACCACAAAAAATTTCAAACTGGTACACTTGTAACAAATTTATCTAAACTAATCTTTTGTCAACCAAGAACCCCAAACTGGTACATTTGTGAAAAATTTACCTTCCGTTAAATTGAATCAATATCACAAAAAACCGCAAATCGATACACTTATGACAAACGGAACCCCAAATTGGTTCACCCGTCAACTTCCACTTGTCATTCAATTCAGCAAATTTAACTGTAAAATTTAAACGAAACTAATGTAGGATAAAATTGTCACGGGTATACCACTTTGGAGTTTTTGGTGGTCAAAAAATTAATTTGGAGTAAATTTATCATAAATATATTAATTTGAGGTTTTTTGTTGTATTAATTCGATGTAGAATAAGGTGACGATAAAAATAAAATTTTTTCTTGTTTTTTCTAAGCAGTTTTCTTGGACTTCACTCTTTTGTTTTAAGACAGCGATTGGTCGCTATCTGCCATGGGATTGGTCTACAAAGACGCTTTCTAATTCCGGAAATTCGATCGTATGTGGGCGCCCACATCTTTGGGATCGATCATCCACCGTTGACTTTCCACATGCCACGACCGCTCGATGTATTTTTATCGATTGTTCATCGCGACATCGTAGCGATCAATGATGCTACTATTATATTAAATAGATGGCGACGACGCAATTAAGAGCTGTCGGATTCGAATCGCGGGGTTATCCGGTCGATTAATTAAAGCTCAACTTGCGCGTACCGACGATCTTGCTGACGATGGCCTTCGTAGAATTCAAATTGGATAATTGAATTTATCCGTTTGTTTGGATGAAAATTGTTTTCGAGAAACTATTTTCGTACTTTCCCGAAAATGAAAACGAGAAGTTTAGATTGGAGAAAATAACATCGCAATTTGGCAAGAAGGGATTCGCTTTCCTAAATTACCAAACATATGAAAATTAACCATTTTCCTTGAAAATAATTTTCATGAAAAATGCTTTTTGATATTATAAAATTTTCGCGAGACAAATGCACTATTAAATTCTACTCCAAATTGGATAACCAATCACTTGGGCATTTTGGTCATTTCATACGGTTGCGAGCGAGTTTCCATCCTCCTATCAAATCAAGAAAGAAAGCTCTTCGCCGAAGTACTTTATTGGGAAGATCTTTAGATATAACTATCTAAATATTTTTTTTGTATTTATCTGCCGGATTTTCTTTCATCTTTTATTTTACTTTTAAAACGGCTTCATTCCAAAAATAAAGAAGAAGAAAGTACTAACAATACCTTGAGTGACAATTTTGGTACGAATTTTTTTTTATCTCATAAAAAATCACCAACTTTCACTAAAATCCAAAATTTGGTCCGAACATTATGAAAACTTCATATCACGGGCTCGATTTAGGACTTGAATAAAAATTGGTGCTTTTAATTGAGATAAAAAAAAAAGGTTCAGACCAAAATTGTCACTCGCTTTATTTTTTGGAATTAGCCCCTTTTAAAACTGGCCACTTGTCCATCTTTTCTATCCAAGAGCTTTTTCGATATGTCTAATTGCTTGCTCTTGGATATATATATATTTTTTATAATCGAGGTGTTCGCGCGGCCGGCGAGCTAGGGCTTAAACCAGCGGTGATGCCCGATTAGTCCTCGAGGGGGGCTAGCGCAACATCCCACCGCCACGACCCCCCACTTAAATCACCGATGGGCGAGTTTGAACCCAGGACCTCTCGTGAAAGGAACTGAGCGCAAACCAACGCGGCCACCGATGGGTGGGTTTGCTCTTGGATATTTTGTTATCTTCTTATTAAAAAAAAAAGTGATTGATATCAAATAAACCTCAAAAATTTGTGTCCAAAATAAGAGCGAGACGCCAAAATAAAGGCGAGGGTTTCATTTGTCCGAGTGAAAAAGACCCTTTCGAAGAAACTAGAGTTCGATGTAGAATTAGATTACTTTACCTAAGGTGATTTATATTTGAAATATTTCATTTAAGAATTTCTCTATTCTCATGATTCAGATTATATCCATCACGGAACATCGAAACACATTTTGAAATACATAAGCATCGATGCGTAAAAATAATATAGGACTTTCCAGTAAATCTCGGAATTCGAAATATGTCCTCTGCCTCCCAAAATTTTGGAGGAAATAAAAAAAAGTAACAAAGTTGCGAAAAGAATTGATGATCCGAAAAATATTTTAAAAAGAAAGATGATCATTTATATCACTTTTAAAAATTTATCGTTGAAATTTGTTTTACGAAGATGCTCGGGCGACGATGGAACGCGCTCCTTTCATTGATTCCCCGTCAAACGATAGATACGACTGCTCGTTTTTAAAAGGGTTAATACCACGAAAAACCCTAAACTGGTACACTTGTGACAATTTTACCCCAAACTATTTTTTTGACCATAAAATATCCAAAACTGGTACACTTGTGACAAATCTACCCCGAACTATTTTTTTTACCACCAAAAACCCCAAACTGGTATACATGTGACAATTTTACCCCGAACTAATTTTTTTTAATATTATTTTTATTTTTCAAATTTTTTATTAATTTTTTTACTTTTTTTTTCCTTTCTCTTCAACCTCTGGTGGTCGGGGCCAGCGACTGCTGCAGGCGAGGCAGCCGGCAAGGTTGGCCCCGTCGGCCACTGGCGAGGCTCAACCTCGCCGTTGCAGGGCGAGGCCGACCTCGCCCAACGTCGGCGAGGTCGAGCCTCGCCGGTGGCCGGCGGGTCGACCTCGCCGGCTTCCGCCTCCGGCCGTCGCCGTCCGGCCCTCTGGCCGGTCGCCGTTCCGGCGACCGGCCAGAGGTTGAAGAGAAAGGAAAAAAAAAGTAAAGAAAAAATAAAAAAAAATTAATTAAAAAATTCGAAAAATAAAAAATAATATTAAAAAATTAGTTCGGGATAAAATTGTCACATGTATACCAGTTTGGGGTTTTTGGTGGTCAAAAAATAGTTCGGGGTAGATTTGTCACAAGTGTACCAGTTTGGAGTTTTTTATGGTCAAAAAAATAGTTTGGGGTAAAATTGTCACAAGTGTACTAGTTTAGGGTTTTTCGTGGTATTAACCTTTTTAAAAAGAAAGTATTTTTTTTTTAATATTATCTATTTTTTTGGGGGGTCAAAAGAACGAAACACGAGCCATATCATCTAACTTCGCACGCCACAGCAAAAAAAAAGAAAAAAAGAAGAAAAAGAAAAATCGGGTCGACGCGATGCGGGATCCGGGGGCGGTGCTGACGTGTGCCGCGAGACAGACAAAAGCGGAAGCCGAAAGGGGGCGACGACCGACGACGACGACGGGGGGATGGCAGGGGGAGCGCGACTTTTGGCTCGGTGCGGTGCCGGTAAAGCGGTGCAGGAAAGGCAGTACGAGACGCCCGTATTCTGACAAGCGGAAGAGACCAGAATTTCTATCAGATCCATAAATCGAAAAAAACGAAAAAGAAATAATAATATTCATTCAGAAAAGGATCCACCGTATTATTCTTTTCCATATAAAAAGAGAAACCTGCCCCAAGAAATCAACATCTACATCGCATTTTTACTTTATTATTATAATAAAATTAAAATAATTGGGGGGAGGGGAGGGCAGCGACGCCGACGATTCAACCACATTGAACTCGTTGGGGGCTTTTGTGTGTGGGTGGTGGGTGGTGGTGGACTTTTTACCCGGTCGCTCGCACCCCCTCCTCCTCCTCCCCCTCCTCCACAACCACACCTTCCTCCCTCGCCCTCATCTCGCTCGCGCTCGCGCTCTCCCTCTGGCTCCGATCGATTCAGGTGAGCATCGATTCCTTCCCTTCCCTTCTCCGTTCGAGCTTTCCTCTCGCCTTTTCTCCGGCGCTCGCTTCCGCTCGATTCTCGATTCGGCCGATCGCCGGAACCGCTGCGCGAGCTCGCGCCCGCCCGCGCCCCTCCCCTCGGGTTTCGGGATCTCCGGCTGCTCGATCGAGCCGGCCGGCCGTTCGGTTCTGCATTTTGCGCGCTTTCTCCGCGGCTTCCGTCGAGCGTTTCTGTCGTTAGGGAGATGGCTCCTTGTGCGTCCGGTTCGCCTCCGGCCTTTTTCGGCCGGGGGTTTTCGTGTGGCGGATGGCGGTTTTTGGAGCCGCCTCTCAGTGTTCGCGATGGCGAGCTTGTCGCCGGTGCTCGGTCACTCGGTGAACGTTGCAGAAGTGCGGCGTTTGTCTGATCTCCAGGAAGGAAAGTTCGAGTTTGTAGTTAAAAAGTCTCTGATTTGGAGCTGAACTTTCAGTTACAGTGAAAGGTTGCCGTGGAGTTAAATCTGAGTTGTTTCATGGACCGCTGCTCATCGTGAATCGGCTTGGCTTTCTTTTTTTTTTTTTTTTTCGGGTTTTGCGGTAGGTTTCTCGGCGATTTGAGAGGATATGTCGGGCGGGGGTACTCAGAAGAGCTTGAGGAAAGCGCTCGGAGCCATCAAGGACACCACTACTGTTTCATTAGCCAAAGTCAACAGTGAATACAAGGTTAGAAGAGTCTCCGGTTGTTTTTTTCCCGTAAGGGCTCGATTTTGTTTAAGTTGCTCGGCTGATGTAGCTTTGTTGCTATTGAGCTTCGTAGGAGTTGGACATCGCTATCGTTAAGGCCACGAATCACGTCGAGCGCCCTGCGAAGGAGAAGCATATCAGAGGTGTGCGCTCGCGCTTGTTCTTTCTTTTTTCTGACTGCTTTCCGTGAGGACTCGGAAAACGACGATTCTGTATGTTGAATATGATCTGTCTCGGGTAAACACAAATTGATTTGATGTAGAATTACCATTATTGTTTGCAGCTATATTCGCCGCTGTCTCGGCTACTAGGCCTCGGGCGGATGTGGCTTATTGCATTCACGCTCTCGCCAGACGGCTATCGAAGACTCATAATTGGGCGGTATGTCCATCTCATTAAGTATATTCCGAAAAATGAGTAAGCAGTAGACGGCAAGAATGTAGAATTTGTGCCGATTTATTGTGACTAGAGGAAGTGAGAGGATGTTTTAGTTGGAATTCATCAATCTAAATAAACGTCTTGCTGAATGGCCAAACTTGAGCTGATTTGAATTGCAATGTACGAATGACGGAGGTGGCTCATACTTCTTTCTTTCCTTGTGTGATCCTCTTTTTATGTATGTTCCTTTTGGTGAGTGTCCCGTCTATTTTGTATGTTCGCATTTATACTTGTAGGTTCATTGATAATTCTGGCGCTTAAGATGTTTCTTTCTATTTCGTCTTTTCCATTTCAATGACTTGCTTTAAGACAGTTTATCAACTGGTGTTTAGGTCGCACTTAAAACGTTGATTATTATACATCGAGCTCTGAGGGAAGTTGATCCAACGTTTCATGAGGAACTTATTAATTATGGCCGGAGTAGAAGCCATATGCTGAACATGGCTCATTTCAAAGATGATTCTAGTCCCAACGGTATATAATTTTACCTTTACTGTATGGTACATGATTACATGGAATTCTCACCGACAAGTTTATAATATTTCACGTGATATGCTGCACAGCATGGGATTATTCTGCATGGGTTCGGACATATGCCTTATTTTTGGAGGAAAGACTGGAATGCTTTCGAGTTCTGAAATATGACGTCGAAGCAGATCGCCCTGTAAGATATCTGCCCTTCTGAGTGGACCACCTCTCTCTACTTTAGCTTATTTTAGAGTATTTCTACTTGATGTTAATGTTTTATTTAGCTCGATGCATATTTTAGCTCATTCAGTCACTGGAGAGGCTTTTTACTTTGCTGCAATGAGACATTGGAAATAGGAGGAGAAAATATCTTTGAAAGGAGAAGCTTTCGCTCAAAATGGCTTTAAAGTGCGGGCACGATAGTATTGGAAAAGAATACTGCATCTACTTAATCATTGCCCTTGATTCTGTTATTTGTTTACTTAACTTTGGTTAGCAGAACATTTTGTTTGGATAATGTTGCGGGAGACTCTTTATGGCTTGAGAAGTTGTTTTTTCTGCTATCCCTTTTATATGATCTGTGGGGACAGTCCCATGTACTTTAATGTGGTGGCTATTGTGCCCTCTGACCTTTTCAAAAAGCACTAGTTATTTAAGATTTCGTTCTTTTAGCGGTGTTCCGATCAATTTCTAACAGAATTGTTTATCTTGTATCAAAATTAACAGTCCTTTTAAGTTTGTCTGAATAAATCAAGTTGCCGATATGGTAGTAATGAAAATTCTGTTGCTAAACAAGCCCATTAATTATTAACTATAGTTTAATTCATTTTCGACGTGAGAACACCGTATTAAATATTTATTGGCAATTTAGTTTAAATGTAACTAGTGATTTAATTTGCCTCCACTGGGAAAATGTTGTAGATCAATCCCTGGATTTTGTGCTTCTATCCTATTATTAGAGTCTGCCATATTTTTTTTTTTTTCTTATGGGTTTCTTAGGCAGAACAGTCTGCTAAGGAAAGGTGCCATGGAAGAAAAACAATTTGCTTTAGTCACATCATGTCCCAAGAGCAGATTAATTGGCCTTGAAATCTTTTGAAGCACGATGCATTTTTTACTCTCTTTTTCTGAGTGTTTATGTTCTATCACTTTAAATGCCATGAACCACAAAGAACTGACAATGTGGGGATGACATTTTGCACAGAGAACCAAAGAGCTAGACACTGCAGAATTACTTGACCACTTGCCAGCTCTGCAAGAGCTTCTGTTTCGTGTGCTTGGTTGCCAGGTATATCTTGAATCTGCTAGGTGTAATTGTCTTTTACCCCTGTAGTATTGTCTAGGTTTTTATGGAGATAATGTGTTTTATATTTTGCCTATTAAAATGACATAGCTATTTATCTATGTAGTTTTCTCTGCCTAATGGAAATAATGAATGTGTATTATACAGCCCCAAGGTGCAGCAGTTCATAATTTTGTCATTCAATTGGCACTTTCAATGGTAGGTAGATATCATAAGCTTTGTTTTTTTTTTTTTCCTTTTTTCAGTTCGATTATGTGGATGGCCTTCCTTTCTCTTATGCCTAATAGTTACTTAATTTGTATAGGTTGCTTCTGAAAGTATGAAAATATATCAAGCCATAAGTGATGGTACAGTCAATTTGGTTGACAAGGTAGGTGGTAATCATGACATTTAGGTCGGAGGATTTAATGGTAACTGTAAGTTATGCGCAATATGACTGATGAAATCGTGGCAGTTTTTTGAAATGCAACGTCATGATGCAATGAGGGCTCTTGACATTTATAGGAGAGCTGGCCATCAGGTAATGCTAACTATTTCAGCTGCTTTAACTGTTATTCAGATGGAAAGGGTTGAATCCCATTGGAATTTCATTCTTACAAATCTATCACTTTTGTAGGCCGAGAGACTTTCAGAATTCTATGAAATATGTAAAAATGTGGATATTGGGCGTGGAGAGAGGTTTATCAAGATTGAACAGGTCTCTCTCTCTCTCTCTCTCTCTCTCACTCTCTCTCTCTCTCTCTCTCTCTCTCTCTCTCTCTCTCTCTCTCCCTACACACGCACGCATGCAAGCAAGCCCGTAGAGTACTGTGTGATGCACACAATCCTTGATTGTATTATTTGCATTTGAAGTTTTATTCCTTATAGTTTTGTCTAACTCTCTGAAGTAATAATTGTCAACTTTGTTGCTATTTCTGAAGCCACCTGCATCGTTTTTACAAACCATGGAAGAGTATGTTAGAGACGCTCCACTCTCCTCTACAGGACGGAAAGATCAGGTATGAAATTGGTTACTGTAAAATCTGCCTGGTAAGATGCTTTCCACAAACTTTTATGCATGTAGAGACCCATATTATCGATGAGTTCTTCGAAAGTTGGGTTGAAAAAATCCAATTACTAGTTCATCAGAAACATGTTGGTTTTGAGGATTTAGTTTGATTTGTTGATCTCAGGAGTTTCTTCCAACTTTAGATGATTTAAAGAACTGACTTGCTCAGTGTATTTTGCCATTCATAGAAACAAGAGCAGATTGGCTAGTTCAGTCAATTGTATCTGAAATAGTGTTGAACTGTTAATGGTTCAACAACGGACTAAAATGAAGTTGTGTCCATTGAACTGGTCAAACCGGGTGGTTCCATAGAGTCACGAACCACTTCAACCTTGCTTTCAGTGGGAGCAAAATGCTATCAGAGAGTTGGATTCTTTACACTCATAAGTGTAGCATGCATTAAAGGAGCCACTACGCATACTCCTATATGTAAACGTATATAATAAATGGATTCACCTGGTGCTGTTACTCTTTTAAACTGCAGCATGGTTACTTACATTGGTTTGCACCCACTTCAATTCTGAAAGCATAATTTTGTTATGTTCGCTCTCCTTTAGAATGAAGAGTATTACTGACATAAATTTGGTTACCATTACAGGCAGTTGATGGTAAAATTGCTTCTCCCCAGGAAGTCTTAGCTATTGAATACAAGAAGCCCCCAGAAGTACAGGAGGCACAACCACCGTCCCCACCAAAGGCTGAGCCAGAACCAGAACCAGAACCAGAACCTGTAAAAGTAGAAGCCCCTGTTGCTGAACCAGATCTATTGGTGAGATATGATATTTCAACCGTGGCATTTAGATTGTTTTTTGGTTGGACCATGTTTGGCTTTGCGGTTGCTCATATAAATATGTCCTTTTACTATTATTTTTATAGGGTTTGAATGAACCCAATCCACTTGCATCAGAATTAGATGAGAAGAATGCATTGGCTTTAGCTATTGTTCCTGTTGGTGTTGGTATGCTCACTGAACCATTTCTCTTTTATTCAGCTTTTCCTTTTTCCTCCAGGCTAACAATTGCTTGATTCATTCTTGAAATCCAATAAATGAAATGACTTTTACTATTGTTTGTCAGAGTGATGTGTTCTGAAGCATTGCTATCATCTATAAGTTAGATTGACAGTGGCATCTTTCTAAAATGAGCCTTAAGTCCATCATTTTTCGAGTCTTTGGCCCATTAATGAAGCATGTATCGCATGATCATCATCTTTCTTACCTGTAAATGAAGATAACATATATCCGAAGAGAGTAACGCTTCTATTTTCTTCTCGTTGTTTCTGATGCAGCTGATCAACCAAATTCTACTGGTTTCAATCATGCTAACGGAGCTACTGGTTGGGAATTGGCACTAGTCACTGCTCCTAGCTCCAATGAGAATGCCTCAGCTGCTAGCAAGTTGGTAAGCTCTTACTCTGCCATCTCTTTGAGAAGTTGTTAAAGATGGTTTGCTAAACTCTGAGTGGATGCCACTGGTTGTCTCACATTTTTCAAGTGTTGCCGGATTCTTGCAACATCACATTTAATTGCTTTTTCTGTGTTTACTGATATTTCTATCACCGGTTGGGTTTGTAACAAAGGGGGGAGGACTCGACAAGCTTACTCTCGACAGCTTATATGATGACGCAATGAGAAGAAACAGCCAAAGCTCTAGCTATAATCCCTGGGAGCCAGCCCCTATGGCCGGTCCGATGATGCAACAACCAGCACACGACCCGTTCTATGCCTCCAGTGCAGTATCCGCACCTCTTCAAGTCCAAATGGCAGCAATGCAGCAACAGCAGGCCTTCATGTTGCAGCAGCAGCAGCAGCAGCAGCAGATGATGATGATGGGCCCACAGATGCAACAGCCGGCAAATCCTTTCGGAAATCCATATGCAGCCAATGTCCACCCATATGGCTCCAGCGTGCCGGTCCAAGCCTACAATCCTTACTCTGGCCTAATTTAAGACCCTTTACAAAAAGAACGAGTCTATCCCGGAGAAAATGGGATGGAATGATAACGGGTATGATCGGTTCGTGCCGATTAAAACCTCAAAAGAAGATAATTAGTTTTTTGTAACATATGTGGTGCCTGTGCAGCAATTAGCTAGAGTGACAATTCTTTGTTGAGTATTAGCGAGAGAGAGCCTTTAGTCTATTGATTATTTATGCTGGTGATGCTGACGATTGGAAATAATGTCTTTGAGACCACAATTCTTCACAGCCTGCTCGAGCAGGGTTACTTTTACCGTCACACATATTTCTCATGTTTATAGATTTTCCTGTGAATGAAAAAGGAGTCACTTTGTAAAGTTGTGATTTTTGAATCTTCGGTCGAATGCAATTTTAAACTTTCTTTCCTAACCCAATTAACAGGGCATTGCAGCTTATCGCATACCTCGAGGTGGTGATTGCTGATCCACATCGCTGTGATTTTCTCTCCTTTTACTTCAAGAGTCGAGAGGTACACGAGTTAAGAGCTCCGTGTCAAGTGGATAGAACCTGGCTTCAATTGTCGTCTGCAAGATTCTGATCATCTTGTCATTCTCAACTTCTCTGTTTTTCTTCATCGACTGGATTGGTAGATTAGGTTTCTCGATTATCAGCGCCGTCATTGGGTTTTTGGCTAGTTTAGTTGAAGAGCGCTCTTTATACATGTAATCCGTTTGCCTTTTCGTAATGCCCCATGGTTAAATGTCTGAAAAGGGGGGAGTGTTGACTGTGTTGCCTCTGTCGCATCTTCTTTGTGTCTCCCCTTCATATTTTCAGGATAACAAACCTGACAAGTTCGCTTGTCCGAGAAGTCATGACAATCACCATGGGGTTGGATGTCTAAAGAGTGCTCATGGTTCTGCAAGAGGAAAGCGTTGGCTACGGTGAGAATTAATCAGTAAATTTGCTTGGAAAAGCTATGCACATGACAAGAAATTAACCTGAGTAATAGCCTTATTAAGAAATATATTTCACCAGGTTGTTCTTGTTTTCGGTTCATGCTTTGGGATCATCCCGAGCAACGCAGCTTTGATTAGTTCAGACTCCAAATTCTGAATGAAGTCTGATTAGAACGAACTGTTCCACTCTTATTTGGAAGCAAAGCCACAATTTCCCCCTTCTCTCTCTCTCTCTCTCTGACCAAGGGTAAAACTGACCAATACATCTTCCAACAAGCTGAAGAGTACATTTTGTTAATGTTTTCATTGACGGGTGATTGACTAGTCCTTGAGTGAAGTGGCTGTTGGTATGTAGTCACCGGCATCATTCTTGGTGGTGGCGGGGAGAGTGATGATGGATGATGCAGCGGCAAGAAGGGAGATGTGGCGCCGGGGGCAAAGGGAGATGATGTGATGCCAATTCAGTTTCACTGCTGTTTGAGCAGCAAGAGCAAGCTCCCGATTTCTGACTCTGTATTTTGCACGCCAATATAAACGTGCATGGTGTGGCAGCTACACAGAGTCGATGTTTATAGTCTGTTCTGGTGGCACTAGGGCCGCTGATGCTTAAGTCAACCAAGTCGTGATTTGCAGGCTGATAGCGTGACCTGTTCGTGCCATCCTTGTAACTCAGCACTGGTTCTAACCCCATGTGCTTTAAAGTTTGAGATTATGAGAGTTGGTATGATAAGGTGTCATCAAATGACCAGTCAATACAATACTTCTCTTTAGGGGCAAAAAAGAACTGTGTTTTTCCCGAGCTTGATTGCTTCAGAAATGAAGAACCTGTTCTCATACCAGATAACAGGAAGTTTTCGTAAAGGAAACAGAAGCTATCAAGTATGATAGGTCGTGTTCATATGAGAGAAACTTGCTATGATCTATTACTTTCATATGCGCAGGCTACAGAAGTATTATGGTTGCAGGCGCATACATTATACAGATGAAGAAAAGAAAAGAAATGATCAAACATCAAGAAGTCTCTCGTTTGAGAAGAAACAATTTACAGGGACTATATGTAATTCAGATATCTTGTTGGCCTCAGATGATCTCGATACATTTACAGGTAGATGAATGACGTTCTCTATAAGAAACTAGAGAAAACTCCACTAGGAATATCACTTATATTTTCCCGAATTTGAAAAAAAAAATTGGAGGGACCTCATACTTCCGACATAATTTTGTCATTATGCATTGCAAAAGTCAGTCAACACCAAAAGCCAAGCTCAGGCAGGAAGGCATGAACAGACCACCGCAAAGGAATGCCAGCACCACGTAGAGGATAATGGCGAAGACGAGTAGCAAGGCGCCACTGTTGCAGGTAAGCAAATAAAACAGTTGGTCTTAAACTACGATCCCAATAAAGCTACATTAATCAAGTTTGAGATCCTCAAACCATAATATTGAATGCAAGCATGATACGTCTTTGACAGGTGCCTTGAACCTGACTAGAATGGACATTCAAAGGAGAGGAGAAATTGATCAACATGAATACTTACGTGAGCTTGACGTTTCCCCACCATACAGTGTTCTTGAAACGACGGGACTGCTTTCTGAAACGGAGTGTGTTTCCTTGCAATGTCGAAGTTTTCTCGACAAGCAGAGCCAAGCGGTCACCCCTGTCCAGAACTTTCTCAATGTTGTTTATCATGACGGTTCGCACCTATTATCATAATGTGACAAGAGTCTCAATGAAACTGAAGAATTCTGAAGATCGACAAATTTGTCTATGCCTAATCAGTGATGATAAGTACTATTTCTCAGATGATCTCCAAGTGATTAAAGGAGCTAGCTCATTAAGTATGAATAAAAGAAGAAAAGACAACACGAGAAATCTTGGCTTGTCATTGAACAGTATATTGTTCGTAATAAACCTTCAAGATACATAATTGAAAGAATTCAGGAGGAGTAGAAAAAGCACATGACTCTTTATGAAGCTAAATGTCTACATGGTTTCAGGAAATAAACTTCAACACAACATATTAGTTGTCTAACATCATGTACTGCACATATAGTTGGGGATGCAGAGTAACTAAAGGATAACAGGCAAACAATGCTCCATCTTATATGATTATGACTCGAATAATAATTGCAGTTCCCAAGTACCTAGATTCACCATAAAAATTATTCAAAACAAGCAGCATTTTCCTCGCATTATAAGAATTTCAAATGGTGAGCAACGGAAGTTAACAAGCTCTGCCCTTCGTGGGCAAAAGAGGAAAAAAAGAGCAAAAACAAAAAGAAAAAGAAAAAGAAAAAAAGATTCTTCCTTACACGATTTCCAGTCATCTACCCAATGAGGGCAATGAGAAGTAGATAGAAAGAAGGAACTCTTTTCATTGAAAACAATCTCTGCTTTCAGAAAACCCACAATGATACAGAGAAAACAGAGGAAGGAAAGAATTTGCCATATGCATATCTTACCTGACTCATTTCACCTTTCAAACGATTTAATCTATCTGCATTTGGATCATTCGAGTACCGTTCCATCTCCTGGCTCAGAATCCTAGAGAATTCATCGTTCATGGCATAAGGAGGAGCTGAGAGGATGGCACGACTATAAGTCTTCACAAATCTCTGGTGAATATCTTCCAGAAACGCAAAAGGGATTCTTCCTGCATATCACGAGCAGCCGAGACATTCACAAACATCATCATTCGAGGCCTCAAGTTGTTTGCGAATTGAGTTACAGAATGTGCAGACAGTTGCTAAAAACTGAATTTATACACAGTTTCCCCTCAAAGAAACGCTATCAAGTATTGGATACAAAAAGCTCTTGCTAGATACTGATATATAAGAAGAAGCAAGTGGCAAAGCGAGGATAAAAAGACAGAACAATCTGTTGTATCTTGATGTCAATGCAAACTCATGCACAATTGACACAAGCTTAAAGGCGTCCAATTTGATCATGCATATATTCATTATACGGGTGACATCCTTCTTCTACATTAACTCTGCAATTAAGGACCAGGAATCCAGAAGAGCCACTTTGTATAAGAGAAGAGAACATTCACCATGCACACGAAGCACCTCATACTATGCTGACTAAGTTTATCCGGATCTCAACTAGTTTGACGGAAGCATGAAAAAACCATCCTCAGATCCACTAATTGGGGCACACCCTCAATGCCTTTACAGAATGATATTATAATCACGCCTACGTGTCTCACCTCTCGTCTACCACTCGTTTGGTAACTTGCAAGGACCACAGAACCAACCACCGAATGACAGATAACATGGAAAGCTTTGACAGCCAAAATAATGGCAAAAGAGAGCACAAACTGCTCATGGCCATGTTTTGAATAACCAACCCACAAAAAAAAGTCAAGCATCCGCAATCCCCAAACTCAAAACACCAGCTTCCCCAAACAAAGAATTGATCAGAGCAATTTCACGGAGTCTTTAGATCCATACGAAACAAACCAGGCAAGCTCGCCTTCGTGCATCTATTTTGATTTTGGCATAACTAAAGCGCACACATTCGATTGTCACAAAGTGATACAAGATCCATAAAACGAAAAGTCCTACATAATTCTCAATAAGGAATGCACTGAAAAGGAAAAAAATCAATCGACGACTCCTCTCCAGCACGCCCCCGTTATGAACAAGAACAACACCGATGCGCGCTAAAAATGTCGCCTTTCTAGCTCCCCCCCTCGATGCACGATCACCCTCGACCGAAAAAATCTCAAAATCGCCGCGACCCACAATCGCACATGGCCGCGCGCGCCCATTGCCATCGAAAAAAGACCTGCTTTCCCCAGCGGAAAGATAACAAAGGAGCATACTTTCGGAGGCGTCGTCGGCCATACAGAGGACGACGAGCCCATCGGTCCTCTTGACGTGGAACACGTATCGGTCCTGGGAGTAGGAGGCGTTGCTGTCGGCGTTCCCCTGGGGCAGCTGCTTCTCCAGGATCTGCCGCGCCACCACGCCCGCGTTCGACGCGGCGGCGGCGCTGAACTCCGCCAGGACGACGTGGCCCCGGGCCACCATCGCGTACAGTATCCCCATCTCCCCCCTCCCCTCCTTCCCTCGGCTCCGACCCTTTATTCCTTAGCCAATCTTTTCTCGGGAGAAAACAAAGGAGAAGACAGGGAAAGATCCGAGAACGCAACCTCCGAGGCGGCGGTCGCGCTCCCAGATTCGGAGGAAGAAGGAAGAAGGAGGAGGAGGAGGAGAACAACCTGCGCGGTTCTGACAAAAAGCTCAGGTTTTTACAATTTTTTTTTGTTTTTCTAGATTTGATTTTTGAAACGAGAAAGGTGGGTGAGTCCACGTGGGGCCACCGTGAATTTCCGATTTTCTTGTCTTTTTTTTTTATTGTCATTATTGGTTTTTTTAGGAAAAAATTCATCCTTTGACAGGGTGGATTTGCGAGGGAAGAGATGAATGTTTGCTTCCCTCCCTTTTTATAACTGAAACTGCAAAAACGAATCGTGACCTTTGGAGGGAACGAGGCACGAAATAAAAAGAAGGAAAAAATGAAAATTTAATCCGGCCGGGTCATCGTAAATCTTCCTAATGAAGCCGCCGCGCCAAAGCTGTGCACGGGATCGCGGTTCATTCGACGAGTATCTCGAACTCCGAATTTTGCCTAAACGTATTTCTTAAATATATCCAGTTGCCTTATATACTTTTAATCTTAACCACGTGTATATCCATCCCGAGTAATCACTGCTCGTCGATAGGCGACGATTCATCGAGAGAGCGTGTTAAACGACATCATTTTATTGCAAATGGTCGATGTTCATAGTCTTCTGTCGATATTGAGTGATTTTTCATAATCTCGAAAACTCAAGGGTGGAAGCGAGTGTGATTAGCATGGTTTAATCAATGACGAGATCGAGGGCAGGTGCTTGAATTTTTTCAAGCTGAAGTAGATATGGGAATTGAAATTCTGTCTCTTTTTCAAAACACGATTCGGGTCGGAACACGAATACATGATTATATAATTATAAGTTCAATCAAGCCAGTTCGATTATCATTCGACCACAAAAACAAAATGAAAAAAAAAGTTCAATTTCCACTCTCGCTCTTTAGCGGGCTTGAGATACGGGGCGAGCGACGTCGTTTCGGAGTATCCGGATTTGGCGCGAACATATCGAAAGGAGGAGGGGACAGACTGGCGGGTAACAAAGTGGACGGCTTGTCGTTTTGTTAGTGCTCGTGTCATCTGGAAAGGCTGGATCCTTTCTGTTTTTTTTCTTTTTTTAAATAAATAAACTCATTGATAAAATGGGCTAATTAATTTAATTAAAAAAATGATCGATTCCCTTTGCCTCCAAGTCAATGTGCTCCTGCATATGAAGGCCGACGTCATTATTCACGAGGATGACGTGGCCCGCGTCGGGGAGATTACATGTAATTGGAGAAGTATACCAATATGTAGGTCACCTATTTGAATTTGAATCACTATGTGGGTGCAAAATAGAAATTCTTGGGACGATGCCGGGATTCGCCTTTGAAAGAACTCTTAGTCGATGTTTAAAGTTGGTCATGGAATTTTACTTTTAATCGAATTGATCTTATAGTGCATTGTACTTTTTTTGGGTGGTCTCATAAACCTTTCCCAAGCACGTCTTACATCTTTGCATTTTGTAGAGAGCCGCACCGTGAACTTCCTCCCACGATGGATAAGTCATCGTGTCTCTGCGTATCCAAGGTTCATCGCGGACTAATATATGTATGTGCTCAACAGGTTGTAGTAGTAAGCTTCCAAGAGTTGCCGGAGCTTCCCTAGAGTTTGAACTGTTTGTGTGTTCGAGCGACATTATCGCGGTTAGGTCCGACCTCACTAACAGGTTGTAGTAAGCTTTCAAGAGCTGCCAGAGCTTCCCTAGAGTTTGAAACTGTATGTGTGTTTGAGCGATATTGTTGTGGTTAGGCCCGACCTCGCTAGCTTAGTTGATTTGAGCCTGTCTAACGGATCTGGACAAGTTTTATTGTTCACAGGGGAAATTCATCTTGACAGGCTCGAACTACTGTGCTGTCAAAGTTGGGTTTGCGCTTGAATGCAAACTTGTCAAGCAATTTTAGGAGGTCTTCGTAAAGAAATGCTTACATGAGAGCATTCTTTTTAATGGGGAATGCGAGAAAGCCAATCATTGCAATCAGAAGGCGACTTTTCAAGCCATTTAGAGGTGTACGTGTCATCTTCAAAGATGGTACTTACGAGTTACGAGTAAATATAGACATATATATACACGTGTGTGTGTTTGCATGCATTGTAATCCATGATGCAATAGATCCGGGAAAAGTGCAAAAAAAAGTTCTAAACATTTTGCATTAGTGCCAATTTAGTCCTAAATATTTTTTTGGTGCCAATTCAGTCCTAAACCTTTTGCATTTGTGCCAATTTAGTCCTAAACCTTTTTTTTGTGTCAATTCAGTTCTAAACCTTTTAAATTGGTGCCAATTCAGTCTTAAACCTTTTTGTTTTTGTGCCAATTTAGTCCTTCCGGCCAATTTTGACCGGAATTTGCCGACGTGGAATCCTGCCGGTCACCGGCGCTGACGTGGCGCAGACGTGGACAACTTTAATATTATTTTAATATTTTTTTGAATTTTTATTTTTTTCCTTTTTTTTCTTTTTTTTCCACTTTTTTTTTTGGTCTCTCCCTCCTCCCTCTGGCCAGTCGCCGGTCGCATAAAAATTCAAAAAAATATTAAAATAATATTAAAGTCGGCGCCACGTCAGCGCCGGTGACTGGCCGGCGGCCGGCAGGATTCCACGTCGGCAAATTCCGGTCAAAATTGGCCGGAAGGACTAAATTGGCACAAAAACAAAAGGTTTAGGACTGAATTGGCACCAATTTAAAAGGTTTAGGACTGAATTGGCACCAAAAAAAGGTTTAGGACTAAATTGGCACCAATGCAAAAGGTTTATGACTGAATTGGCATCAAAAAAAGGTTTAGGACTAAATTGACACTAATGCAAAAGGTTTATGACTTTTTTGGCACTTTTCCCCAATAGATCCATAACCTTTAGAAGGAAGATGAGAAAATATGGAAAGAAATGCAGCAAAGGTTGAAAGATGTACCTCGTGATGAGGCATGGGATAAGTTGAACATCGGTTATGGTCCATTAGAAGATGTGGAAAAAGGAATTTCTCTCCATATGGCATGCTTCCTCAAATATGAAAAGAAATCATGGGCAATCTATTTCGAGGATGCTTGCCGTCGATACCCGCATAGCTCATTGAAATAAGTATTTTATTTGTGTCTAATTTAAATTGTTCATAGTAATGTTATATGGATGTATGATCAACTGAAAGACCTTGGAAGAGACATTGTTCACCAAGAATATACTCAAAATCTAACCGGGCACGGTAGGTTGTGGAATTGCAAAGAAGCCCTTGAAGTAGTAAGGTACAAGAGGTAAAGCAAAAGTAGGGTTGATACATTATCAACTATACAATTATTTTCCCACGTCCCATTAAAAAGTTTCCTTTTGGCCATTCGGAATGACAAATTTAAGGTTTGCAAGCTAAATACTGATTGACTGGTTCTGTTGGTAGAGAAAGGATAAAGTTGAAGCACTCAATCTAATTAAACATCATTGAATCCAAGCAGCATTGTGGATAAAGAACTTGAGAGGAGGCTGAAACTGAAATTCCTCGAGTTAAGAGCAGGGACCTTTGTTGGAGACATCAACAATTATCTCCCGGAGCTGAGACGGCTTTCTTGGGATTCTCCTCCTCTGGATCGTAGAATGGCCAATTTGCACTTGAAAAATTTAGTAGTATTCAAACGTTCAGACGATGAAAACACAGAAAAATGGGGTGGATGGGACATTTTGAAGGTATGAAGTCGTACTTTTATTCTCTCGACACGGTATTCTCTCTTTGAACCTCTCTGATAATATTTTAACGACTTATATATATGGCAAATAATTGAAAGTTCTATTTCTCTCAAGATGTAAAGGATTGAAACGGACTTTGAACTTTTTTGGATGCCTGAGTTCAAAGAGACTATCTCTTCGTGACTGTCCAAACTTGCAAGAATTTGACTCTTTTATTGGGAAGCTAAAAGGTCTTACTTACTTGGACATTAATTGGTGTGGATGTCTTTGAAATTTGCTTGAAGAGATTGGAGGGCTGGTGAATCTGAAGCACTTCTCTATGGAAGCATGCTGCGAAATGGAGAAATTTCCATACTTTCTCGCGAAATTAACATCATTGTCTCAATTAAAACTATCACGCTCAAATTACAAGTGTACCTGATTCTATTGGTAATGTGAGACACTTGTCATTCCTTAATCCATCATTCATGCCAATTGTGAGATTTCTAGCGGAGAGCTTATGCAACTCGAGTTCGAAGAATGTCAAGGGTTGAGGGAGCTTCCATAATCAATAGGCAACTTAACATCATTAACCCTCGCCGAAGCCAATGTATGGAGAAGAGCTAGGAACGACTCACAGCATAATCAAGTTAGTCTTCCTGTTGATGTTGGCGATGTAGTCTCTTATGTTTCCAGTGTTTGTTAATACCCTTGTTTATACCATCATTGGGGGCATCCGCTACAGTTGATTCATAGAAATATCATGCTATGCTTTGAATGACCTTTTACTTTTTATATGTCTAACTTATTTTTATTTTGTGTCTGAGATTTGCATTTTGTTTAATATACAAGGAATAATAACACGAATGATCCATAAACTTTGATCTAATATGCAATGTGATCCATGAACTTTTAATTTGTTCAATGTAGTCCCTGAACTTTAACTCAATGTTCAATGTGGTCCTTGAACTTTTGGTACATGTCCAACTACGTAGAACATTTTTATATAGTTCAGGGATCAAATTGCCCATTAAATCAAAGTTCAGATTAAACAAATTAAAATTCAGGGACCACATTGCATATCGGGTTAAAGTTCAATGATCACATTGAACAAATTAATGGTTCGAGGACCATATTGCATATTTGATTAAAATTCAGGGACTATTTGTATCATTTTCCCAATATACAAAACACCTCAAATTTTGTACGCCCTGTGTGTGTTTTCAATTACATTTAAACCAAGTCATTTGAATTTCTATCTGCATCATTTGTAAAATCAAAGTAACATTTCCTAGGCCCGTCAACTCACTCCAAGCCCACAATAGAACAAGATCATTTTGACGTACCGATGGTTCAGATGTTATATAATGTGCCAACGAGTTATCAGCTAATGGCTGCTGAAACTTTAGTCCAAGAGAA